TTTAATTTCTTGAGGAACCTCTATACTGTTCTCCAGAGCGGCTGCACCAGTTTGCATTCCCACCAGCAGTGCAAGAGTGGCCCCCTTCCTTTGCATCCTCCCCAACACCTGTTGTTTCTTGTGTTGCTAATTTTAGCTATTCTGACTGCTGTGAGGTGGTATCTCATTGTGGTTTTGATTTGCATTTACCTGATGGTGAGTGATGTTGAGCATCTTTTCATGTGTCTGTTAGACATCTGGATATCTTCTTTGGAAAAGCTTATGTCTTCTGCCCATTTTTGAATTGGATTATTTGGTTTTGGGGTGTTAAGTTTGGTTAAGTTCTTTATAGATTTTGGATACTAACACTTTATCTGCTATGTCATTTGCAAATATCTTCTCCCATTCCATAGCCTGCCTTTTAGTTTTGTTGATTATTTCCTTCACTGTGCAGAAGCTTTTTATCTTGATGAGGTCCCAATAATTCATGTCTGCTTTTGTTTCCCTTGCCTTCGGCGATGTGCCTAGTAAGAAGTTGTATGGCCTAAGTCAAAGAGGTTGCTGCCTTTGTTCTCTAGGGTTTTGGTAGTTTCCTGTCTCACATTAGGTCTTTCATCCTTTTTGAATTTATTTTTGTGTATGGTGTAAGCAAGTGGTCCAGTTTCATTCTTCTGCATGTCGCTGCTCAGTTTTCCCATCACCATTTGCTAAAGAGACTCCCTTTTTCCCATTGGACATTCTTTCCTGCTTTGTTGAAGATGAGTTGGCCATATAGTTCTGAGTCCATTTCTGGGTTTTCCATTCTGTTCCATTGATCTATGTGTCTGTTTTTGTGCCAGTACCATACTGTCTTGATGAGTACAGCTTTGTAATATAACTTCAAATCTGGCATTGTGATGTCTCCAGTTTTGCTTTTCTTTTTCAGGATTGCTTTGGCTATTCGGGGTCTTTTGTCATTCCATACAGATTTTAGGATTGTTTGTTCTAGCTCTGTGAAAAATGCTGGTAGTATTTTGGTAGGGATCGCATTGAATGTGTCACTTGCTTTGGGTGTTATTGACATTTTAACAAGGTGACTTTTATAAAGTCACGTTAGGATACATATGATATTCTTTGAAGATGGGCCATCTTTAATTTTGTCGTTTAACTATTATGCTTTAGCAATACTGTCATGCTGCAATAGGGACAGCATTTATCACTCCAAAATGGGAGATATTAAATTAGGATTTACATGTTGTATTGGAGAAGGTTTTCTTATTGTGGCAGAAAAGTTGAAGTCATAGGAAAAATCTTACAGGTTGGACCATATAAAACAGGACTGCTAGGCAAAACACACCATAAACATATGCAAGACATGATAAACTGTAAAAAAAAAAAAAAAAAGTATTTTAATTAAGTTTTTAATTTTAATTCCAAGTAGTTGACATTCAGCGTTATATTAGTTTCAGGTATTCAAAAATAGTGACTCAGCACTTCCACGCATGGCCCTGTGCTCATTGCAACAAGTGCACTCCTTCACCTGCATCTCCTGTTTCCTCCATCCCTTCGCCCACCTCCCCGCCAGTAACCAGCAGTGTGTTCTCTTTAGTTAAGAGTCTGTCTCTTGGCCTGTGTCTCTCCTATTTTATGTTTATTCTTTGTTTTGTTTCCTGAATTCCACATGTGAATGAAATCATATGGTATTTGTCTTTCTCTGACTGATTTCACTTAGCATGATACTCTCTAGCTCCATCCACGTCATTGCAAATGATAAGATTTCAGTCCTTTGTATGGCTGAGTAATATTCCATGGTGCCTGTACTACATCCTCTTTATCCCTTCATCTATCAATGGACACTGGATTCCTTCCAGAGTTTGGCTATTTGTCAGTAGCGCTGCTATAAACATTAGAGTGCATGTGCCACTTCAAATCAGTATTCTTGTATCCTTTGGGTAAATACCTAGTAGTGCAGTTACTGGATTGTGGGGTATTTCTATTTTTGAGGAACTTCCATACTGTTCTCCAGAATGGCTGCACCAGTTTGCATTCCCACCAACAGCACAGGATGGTTCGCCTTTCTCTACATCCTCACCATCACCTGTTGTTTCTTGTGTTGTAAATTTTAGCCATTCTGACAGGTATGAGGTGATATGTCTTCATCATTTTGATTTTTATTTCTCTGATGATGAGTGATGTTGAGCATCTTTTCATGTGAGGGCCATCTGGATGTCTTCTTTGGAAAAATGTCTGTTCATGTCTGCTGCCCGTTTTTAAATTGGATTATCTGCTTTTTGGGTGTTGAGTTGTATCAGTTATTCATGTATTGGATACTAATCCTTTATCAGATATGTCTTTTTTTTTTTTTTTTTTT